GGGGTTCAATTTATTTAATTAATTTAAATATTTTATAATTATATATATTTTGCTAGCTGGAGTGGGTGGGAGTTATGGGAAAGGGGGGAATTTACTGTTAGTGCTGCTTACTGCTAGTTAGGGGATAACGGTAAAAGAAAAGTTTAGAAAAAAATGTTAAAGTGTAAAACATTTAATAAGTAAAAAAAAAGTTTAAAAACGGGTTTTCCAAAGTAAAAAAAGTTTTACAAAGTAAAAAAATACATAAAAAATGCTCATTACCACTACACTTGGTACAAGCTAGCAGAAAAATGATCCCACGCTAAGTTTCATAATAGGCTTTTTGAATTGCCCTGGGGGGTCTTCTTTAAGAAATGGTATGCCTTTAAGGGGTAATTGGATTATATAGCCTGGTAAAATACTCTAAAATGGGACATGGACACAGTGTAAAAATTCAAAGTTTGAAAAAAAACTGGAATAGCTGTGTCTCAGATGTGCCCCTTCAATGTCCACGTATACCTGGCAAAGGTACATACGCGGGTATTGCTGTACTAAGCCTGCATAGCTGAGCAACATATGAAGTAGTATACAGTCGTAGTACACATAAGGTTTGCAAAATATACTGCACAAACTCGCTTTGTGTGTCAAAAAGGCAGAAAAAATGCTGTGTATCTGCATGTGTTTCTGTGTGTGTGTGTGTGTGTGTATGTGTATCACAGTGTGTGTGTGTGTGTTTGTGGCAGTGCAGGTGTATATGTGCATACATCTTAGCATTCAACGCCAACACTACACACAAATACACACCTGCATTCAAACTTCAACACTACATATAAACACACCTCTTTTTTAACAACAAAATTATATATAAACACACCAGTGCATTCATAACACTACCAACACTACAAACCAACACTACACATAAATGCATGCTTGCATTCAAATTCCATCTCCACATACAAACACACCCCGACATTCACACAAACATACTCCATACAAAAACATGCTTACACTCAAACACACAAATACTGCATTGTTGGAATTACACGACAGATGGGGATCTACCTTTTGCCCCCTCTTACGGAAAATAATTCATGCACCAGAGCCCTTGCTACTTTACGTCCGCCTCTGCGTTGGGGTAGGGGCCTGATTGCATGCCAGGGAGGGGAAGACAGGGTCCAGGGGGCCCAAACCAATGTTTGCCCAGGGTCCAAATAGTATTAAAGACGGCCCTGGACCCATGCTCCCTCCAGGGTAATTCTATAAATTCCTACCTCCATCTACGCTCCTAACTTTTACAACTACAGAGGCATGGTCTAATCTAGGATTCTCCTCAGCTAGGGTTTACCCTTGGGAACAAATATGTATCAATGGTAATTGACAACAGACTGTAAACCAATCTCAATGTGCTAATGCCTACTTTCCATGCAGACACATTTTCTCTCAATCTAAATCAGCTAAAAACAAGGTATCTGACCTGCAATGTGTCATACCCCCAACACAATGGGCCTGCATGCTTACTGTACAAAAAGATCTAATTAGATCCTCAGCGCATTTTGAACAACCACTGAAAATTTTGTATAGATATACCATAGATGTACTGGTTCATTTATATAAAATATTCCCTAATACTTAGTTGAGTTGCTGGCACTGTATTAGGGCGGAAGGTGTGATTTATTATATTTAGTGGAGTTGTAATGATATTCTCCACTTTTGAAAAAGTATCCAAGAGACTATTTAAGAGGTAATAGCTCTTCAAATTCCATTTACACCTCTCATCTACTTATTAATAAGTTTTATATATATATGTAGGTACACTTACTAATCAATAACAGTATTAATTTATCAAACGGACTAGTTGCTTTCCATTTCAGTCTATTCATTTCTTTATCGGGGATCCAATGAATATCATGCGAGCCAAATACATAAAAAACCTGGGTTGGGTATCTTCTTTACTTCAGCAGACGCATCTGCTTAGCAATAAATTAGATTAGCATAAATGCTTTGTGCAAAGCTCAATATTATTACTGCCAGTAAGTGAGCCTACATATTTATTTTTATGAACGGGTTAAGTAGTTTAAATAACATTCAGATCGAACATGTGGGGTCATATATTACGGGAATACATCTGTCAGTTTCTTCCCCTTGGTATTTGACAATTTACACACTTCTCCTTTAACAATTTTCTCTCCGATCATACGTTAATCTGATTGGGAGATTCAAATTAGAATGCTCCAATCAGATCCCTAGCCCCACTACCCCCCCCCCTTTAAAAACCGGCAATACTTACCATCCGGTTCCCCTCTGATGAGCTGACCCAGCGAAACGTGCGTCAGGTGCTTTGGGGCATTGCTGTGTCCACATTAGATTGCAGCAATCTCTGACTTCTAGGCACTATTATTGTAATTAGTTTCTATTTTTGGCATCTTCAGCTATATGATTTTCCTTTATTATTGTCATTTTCAACTCTTTTTCATTCATAGAGTGGGTGGCTTTTATTATGCTTAAAGCTAGGGTCATTTTTAGGGGTAAGGTGTGCCCTCGAAGGCACAATAGGGACAGTTATCTCTTTGACCCCTCTTCCCTCTCTCCCTCCATTCTACCCCGTCCTATACCTGATATAACTGCAGGAGGTATTTTTAGTTTCTACCTCCAGCATTAGATACGCTACTAAACAGTTATTTATACTTTTCTAAACCATAGGAGCTACCAGCTACTTTTGTAATATTTTTTGTTAAACTTTTGGCAACATGCTTGAAGTTACTGTAACACAAAGATGCCAAAGCACAGTGTTACATTTGTTTACCACTCAGTGAGTACTTATTAACAATCTTGTATCAGTTGACATCTGGTTACCAAACTGTCAATTGACATACTATTGAGGGTTTTGCATAATAAACCCCCCACCAAACTTTTTTTTAGGGGTACTTACTATTCAACCGTCATTGTGGACCAGTCTCTGCTATTTTAAATTTTATGTTTTGTACATATGTGTATAGTACTATTAGTTTTGTGTTGTAGTTGGTCTCTTCTGTCGTATGAGACTTTTTAGCGTTTAACACTTCTACACTTCTAGCGTTCTATTACGTATTGTGAATGAGGGAATACTGTTGAACAAATTTTTTTATTTGATTTGAGTTCCTTCTAATTGTACAACTGCAGAGACTCACACAGAGGTACACTAATATTTATTTATGTAATATGTACCCAAACTACCTTACAATATGGTGAAATTATACTAATTGTGTTTTATGTTGTACCATTGGGCGTACATTGCATCCATTGTATACATTGCATTCATTGTATTGTATTATTTGTATTATCTGTATGGCTGTAATATTTATACTATGACGTGTGAGAATCTTGCGTTCACTCTTCTCCCTCTTTTTTCCTTTTTGAATGCCTTCCAATTTTGATTTTGTAATCAATAAAAGTCAACTGTTAAAAAAAACCCCACAGGAATCAAAAGTACAAAAGGGTAATAAAAAAAAAAACTTTCATGTTTTTCATAAGTATGTTAGCAAAAACAACTATATCAAAAATGTTTAAATTCTCAGAATGTTAGAATGATTAGCAGAAGCAAAAAGTACCTACCAGAGAACGCTCGTCAGAATATATCCCAAAAAACACTGTTGATATTAGAAGAAGTTATAGAAAAAAAAACAAAGAAAAGTGGGAAGTGCAGAAACAAGACAATTCGGCATAAAGCCTTTATCAAGGGATGATGTGTTTTTTGGAACCGCAGGTCTACTCAGCCATACTACATGCTGTGACTGGCAGGAGGAAAGTGCTGTGCTGAGTGCTTCCCTCCTGCTGGCCACTGCACGCCCCAAGCCAGTGCAGCCCTGAAGTTAAGCCAGTCGCTGGGATCAACAGGGTGGCCAGGTCCCCTAGAGTGATGGGCCTGGTCGCAGCAGTGACCCCTGAGACCACAGTTGTTACCCACTGCATGCAATTGTTTTGGGCAAAAGTATTTGGAAGAACCAGAATCGCTAAGTGAAAAATACAAAAAATGAAAAAATTAAGCTTATGGTTTCACATGGTATTAGTATCAAATTACAATAGGCAATCGCTAATAAAGGACCTAACCAGGGAGATAGAGCCTGTGAAATACCACAAGACCTGGCAGAGGTCCCACCCATGCTCACACACAATGGTATTTTGTAAGGGCTTAAAATTAGAATCCCCCATGACTAGTGGGTATGGCTTTCGTCCCCCTCAGCACCCCCCATTAACAGTGGATGGGGACTTTAAAAAATATTTTGGGGGGACACTAAACTAGTTCCCTCAAGCCCCAGCCCTGATCCATGTGTGGCAGTTGGGGTTTATGTTAATATTAAGAAAGGGTGTGGGACATGCTATTGTCCACCCCCTACCTCCACACACATAGGCTTCTAGTGGATTACATGCTTCTAGTGGAGTACATGCTTCTATTTCCTTCCAAACAAAAATTAGGGCAAATTTGAACTGACAGTGCTGCCAGTGGAAAAATGGTTGGGATTTTTAACTCCAAAAAAACCAAATGAAACAGCTCATTTATTGACCATTTTGTTTGTTTTGTGTAACATACATAAGGTGTTTCAGAATTGCCCACGATTGCCCTAAGTGAATACACAAACACAAATCTAATGTGAACTGTGTTGGTAATTAACATTCTGAGGTGTGAACTTTTTCAATTGGACAGCTATACCTACTAATATGCTGGTAAAAAGTGTGTACATTTTGAAACCTTTTGTATTACTGGTGGGTTTTTTAATATTTCCCCAATCCCTCGATGTCCAAGGTGATGCCTTTATATGAAAGACTTTATTTTTTCTTGTCTTTCTTGTACATTATACAATTGGAGAGAAAATATACACGAATGACAAATTATAAATAGAAAATTATGTATTTTTTTAATCAGTGAACTAAAAATGAATGCAATGCTAATTATATAATTAAGCCTCCATCAATGCCCCACCAGGACCTCCTCCTAGGCCCCCATCTGGACCTCTGCTATGACCTGATTCAAGGCCACCACCAAGATGTCCGTCAAGGCCACCACCAAGACCTTAGCCAAGGACTCCACCAAGGATACCACCAAGAGTTTCGCCAAGGGCCCCAACAAGACCTCCACTAACGATCTCACCGATACCTTTACCACGGCCCCTACTAAGGCGTTTGCCAAGTGCTTCTCCAAGGGCTCCGCCAATTGCTCCACCAAGGATTCCACCAAGGACTTCACCAAAGGCCCCACGAAGACCTCCATCAAGTTTCACACCCAAGAGAATGCTTCTAAAACTTGTCATGCCTCCATCTCTGCTTCTTTGTGTTATCTGCACAGGGATACTACTGCTGATTCTGCAGAGATAAAACATTGGAATTAAATTAGTAAATACAAATACCCTTAAGGATGGCGGGCGTTCTATGCTGTCCTTAAGGGGACGGTCCTAAATGCTGCGTCCCCGTTATCCTTAATACTTACCGCCAGCGTGTGATCTTGGCCCAAGCCGTCCCCCTCCAGCAGATTAAGCCCTTCCGGGTTCATGGGATTACGTGGTTATGCAATCACATGACCGGAATGGCTGTCCACAGCTCTGCCTGAAGAGGGAGTGCCTGGAATGTCAGGCAGTCCCCCGTGTGCCTCTTAAAAAGTTTTAAAAGTTATTAAAAAGGTCTAAAACACTTTTGTGACGAAGTACCCTTCACCACTTGTGCTTGGAGAGGACTAATGGCCAGCCTTTTGCCTTGTGACTATGGCCCCTGGGAGTTATTGCCATTTAAAAGCCTCTATTTATGGCTACTGTACTTTGCAGACTGTTTCTGGCCCTTTAAATTGTATTGCTACAATTTTGCACTTTTGAAGTGGAACTTCGGATGCATCCGAAGTGCCGAAGTAGTCGAAGTGGCCGCCATTCGACAAACGAATACGTGGCGGTGGAAATTTTAATTCAGTTAAACCCGTTCAGCAGCACGAACACCGCTGAACTTCTACCTTCTCTGGAACTTCAACACTTCGAATGCAGTCGAACGGTGTTTCACAATACGAACGCCACATTAACATTGCTGTTTGCACAAATGTTCCCCGTTCGTGCATTTCAACAGTATTTGAACTGAGGTGAATGGACCGGTCGCATAGCCCAAATCTCTGGAACTCTTTTAGGCATGAAAATGTGCACGCGGTCGGTCAAAATGGGACTTCCAGCTATCTCCCGAACCACTGGAACAATTCGCATGATTTTTGGATATGTTTGTCCCTTAAGTATGCTGGGTCTGAAAATTTTATTGGGATTGAATGTATAATTTTGGAGTTATAAAAATTGTGTAAAAGTATATTTTTCGCTTGGAGATAATTGAGTTGATACAGCAATTAACTCAATTATCTCCCAAGCAGAGGGTGGACATTGTACTGTAATGAATGGTAGTGTTTAACTGTATGTCTATAAATGATTGGTTGTTAAGTTTGTGTTTTCGGTGCCCAACAAGGTCCACGTGGGTGGTAACCTAGTTGGAAAAATTGTATAAAAGAAATGCCCTTGCACTCAATAAACAAGATTTTCTTACCCTCAACTTGTAGCCTTGTCTCTTGTTGTAGGGAACAGCTATACCAGCTATATCACTGCTAGCTCTTGTAAGAGCTCTCTTCAGCTATACGGCTATACTCTCCTGGAGGAAAGACCCAGCTATACTCTCTCGGAGGAGAGCCCTAGCTATACTCTCTTGGAGGAGAGCCCCAGCTATACTCTCTTGGAGGAGAGCCCCAGCTATACTCTCTTGGAGGAGAGCCCCAGCTATACTCTCTTGGAGGAGAGCCCCAGCTATATTATTTTGGAGGAGAGACCCAGCTACACTCTCTTGGAGGAGACAGCGAGATCCTAACCAAGCTACGGTGGTTTGTGGAGTCTGCGGTGCCTATGGTGTCAAGTGCAGTGCTGATGGAGCAGCGCTAGGAGCATCCGTCGGCGGAGGTGTCCGTCACAACTTTATTAAACCTATAAAAAGTACTTAGATCATATATACACTGAACAAAATTATAAGCGCAACACTTTTATTTTTACTCCCATTTTACATGAGCTGAACTCAAAGATCTAAGACTTTTTCTACGTACACAAAAGTCCTATTTCTCTCAAATGTTGTTCACAAATCTGTCTAAATTAGTGTTAGTGAGCACTTCTCTTTGCTGAGATAATCCATCCACCTCACAGGTGTGGCATATTAATTGCAAAGGTGTGCCTTAGGCTGGCCACAATAAAAGGGCACTCTAAAATGTGTAGTTTTATCACACAGCACAATGCCACAGATGAAGTTTTGAGGGAGCGAACAATTTGCATGCTGACTGCAGGAATTGCCACCAGAACTGTTGCCCATGAATTGAATGTTAATTTCTCTACAATAAGCCGTCTCCAAAGGCATTTCAGAGAATTTGGCAGTACATCCAGCCGGCTTCCCAACCGCAGACCACATGTAACCACACCAGCCCAGGACCTCAACATTCAGCATCTTCACCTCCAAGATCGTCTGAGACCAGCCACCCCGACAGCTGCTGCAACAATCGGTTTGCATAACCAAAGAATTTCTGCACAAACTGTCAGAAACCATCTTGGGGAAGCTCATCTGCATGCTTGTCGTTCTCATCGGGGTTTCGACCTGACTGCAGTTCGTCATCGTAACCAACTTGAGTGGGCATATGCTCACATTCGATGGCGTCTGGCACTTTGGAGAGGTGTTCTCATCACGGATGAATCCCGGTTTTCACTGTACAGTGCAGATGGCAGACAATGTGTATGGCGTTGTGTGGGTGAGCGGTTTGCTGATGTCAACGTAGTAGATCGAGTGACCCATGGTGGCAGTGGGGTTATGGTATGGGCAGGCGTATGTTATGGACAACAAACACAGGAACATTTTATTGATGGCATTTTGAATGCACAGAGATACCGTGATGATATCCTGAGGCCCATTGTTGTGCCATTCATCCACGACCATCACCTCATGTTGCAGTATGATAATGCATGGCCCGATGTTGCAAGGATCTGTTCACAATTCCTGGAGGCTGAAAACATCCCAGTTCTTGCATGGCCAGCATACTCACCGGACATGTCACCCATTGAGAATGTTTGGGATGCTCTGGATCGGCGTATACAACAGCGTGTTCCAGGTCCTGCCAATATCCAACAACTTCGCACAGCCATTGAAGAGGCCACAATCAACAGGCCACAATCAACAACCTGATCAACTCTATGCGAAGGAAATGTGTTGCACTGCGTGAGGCAAATGGTGATCAAACCAGATACTTACTGTTTTTTTGGACCCCCCATACTCTCCCAATACAGTAAAACTGCACATTTTAGAGTGGCCTTTTATTGTGCCAAGCCTAAGGCACACCTGTGCAATCATGCTGTCTAATCAGCATCTTGATATGCCACACACAAGGAGAAGTGCTCACTAACACAGATTTAGACAGATTTGTGAACAATATTTGAGAGAAAGAGGCTCATTGTGTACATAGAAAAAAATCTTAGATCTTTAAGTTCAGTTTATGAAAAGTGGGGACAAAAACAAAAGTGTTGCGTTTATAATTTTGTTCAGTGTATATATACATACATATATATATACAGTTCTCAGTGCTGCACAGTAGGCAGCAATGCCGTTCAGCGTCCACACGCTCAGCATGGGGACGCTGAATTTTAGCACATGACAGGAGGCTTCATATTTTGCTTTAACTTCCTTTACAACTACAATAGCAGCAAAGAACATATAAAATGAAATTACCAATAAGAGACAAGCAGAGTATATATCAAGCCCCTCCCACTGCCTCTTTCTTTGCTGCTGCATCACAAGTCAGGTCAGAATATTGTGTGTCTAACACTTTGCCACTGACTAGTCTTATTATTATTGTGTTAGTATTTTAAAATTATTGTTACTATTATTGTGTTTCTAGTATATTTTTGTTTTTTTTTCTGTGGGAAGTTGAGAGATATCCTGCACCTTTTCTGGGGTGCTTGAGGGTTAAGTTTTTTGCCCTATTCCCTTTCTCGCTACAGGTTTCTACTTTCCGGGTTATACCGACGGTTTAAAAACTTTCTAGGTATACTCTATCTGTGGCTCGCACACTTTTGGGGAGTCCTCGCAGCGCGCTCACTATGGCGAGCGCAAAGCGCCCTGGAGGCTCTCCTAGCCAGCAGGTGCTCTCAGCAATGTTCGTCTGTTCGGGATGTTTTAGCGTTACGCGTTTGGTGAAATTTTCCCTCTTAGCGTTCAGTAGTTTGCTCCCATCAGTTTCTTTGTATTTCCACGAATGGTTGTTCATGAACAATGGCATTAGCGGCTTAGCACTGTTCATTTTTTTCTATCTCCTCGTTTGGGATTTTATTCCCACGAATCCTATTCAGGATTTGCAGGCTTTTTTCAGTGGCCATTTTGGATCTCGCATCGCGAGAGTCCCTGCGGCCATTTTAAATGTTGCATGTGTATTGGAGTTTATTCTGTGTGGACGTTTTTTCTCAGTGCTGTGTGGAAAAACTTGTGGAATTGATTTAACTGCCTGTTTGCTACCTACTGCTACAGGTTAGTAAACCTTTAAGGGGTTAGCCGGTCAGGTTATTACCGAGTACTCTCGCTTGGGGTGAGCCCCCATTTTATTCACACAGTCTCCTTTTTCTGGGTGAGCCCCAGAATTTTGTCTGCCTATACGTGGACCTTATATACACAGGCCATTACAAAACCCCGGGTGGTCCCTGCTGACTATCTGCCGCAACATGCCTATTTACCAAAATATATTCACTGATTTGGGGTAAATCCAGTGTGCCTAACATGGAAGTGTCCCAGATGCCAACAGACCTGCAGGCCCTTATTAATATGGCGATGGCCGCATCAGTTGAAAAGGCCTTAGCCAAGGCACTACCGGTCACTTATGACCTGCCAAAATCTCTCCCCAAGCGCTCCCAACTGGAGTCAAGAGAATTATCGGATGATTCTGAATCTTCCTCTAAAGAACATTCACGCCCGGCGAAACGCCACTGGAAGGGTGAAGGGTCTAAATGAAAGCCTAACAAAGGCAAAGCTCCCCTAAATAAGGGTAAACATGTGCAACCTGTGTCTCAGAGGGTTTATGAAGCCTCCTCAGATGAGGAACATGGTGTTCCCCCCTCTTTGTCTGTCCTGGAGGAGTGGCAGGCTGAACAGTCTCAGTCGGATGACGAGACATGGGGTCATAAATCCTTCCTGGGTGAGCCCCAACAACAAGAGGGCATAGTCGAGGCAGAGACCTCAGAACAGCCAGATAGTGAGCGCTTTTATGACTCCACAGTCGGCGATTGTTCGACCCAAGGAACATCCGACACCCACGTTCTGGAGATTGGACACCGCCACCTCATCTCACTAAGTTCAT